AAATTGGAATATGACTGCATTATGTTGTGTCCTTTCTTATATACAGGTTGGTCCTACCAATATTTGGTCCTGAAGGGATGAGATTTTTTATCACATAAGATCTAACAAAAGAAATAAAATAATTATAACACTTAAACAAAGATAAGCTGGAAATGATAGTGTGATTTTGACTATAATTACTTTTTTTTATTCTTGCCTAAGGTTGATAAGGAAATTATCATTAACAATCAATAAAAGAGACAGGAAAATAAGATTTATATTTTTACTACAAGTGTCAGCTTATGTGTCAAATCAAAAAGAGTTCTTTTCAAAATAGATTCATGTCTTAAGGGTTAATTGGAGGAAATGATCTTTATCAAAAAGTATACTTCCAAAGTTTGAAATCTCAGCATTACAAAAACACAGTTGAAATAAATAAGTCAAAATATCATAGGTGTACAAATATATGAAATATAAAATTGCAAAATGAAATATAAAATATACATAATTAAAACAACTAATGTAATGTTATGTAATATAAAACATGGGGTGAAATTATTGCTTCATAACAATTTTATGCACTGCTTCTGTTTATTCTGGTTCCTTGTCCTATTGTGGTTCCCATAGAAGTGGCAGAAGACCAGCACACATCCGTTTTCAATCAGAATTTCTCGACTTTAATCCTTACCTTGTAAGTCGTAAAGTTGCGATTGGTCAATTACACATAATTTTGCTTCCAGGGAAAGTTTAAAAACCATCACTATCACTATCACTATGAAGCATGGGTAAAAAGTGATTTTTGGACACAAGTAAAATTCTGTTGAAAATTAGAAAATAGACCATGTCATACTATTTAAAACAAATCTAAGACTAGTTACATGTATTACAAAAAATAATTTTTTAATTTTAAATATTTAGGGGAATATAGGGCGGGGGATCTATGCCCCAAGTGTCATTCAGTATTTCATGCACTGCTTCCCCTTTTCATTCAGAACACCTTGACAGTAGTTCTTAAAGTTAAAGTTGCGGTTGTTTCATCATTAAAAGGAGAAAACTGTGATACCTACCCATTATTTTTTCCCCCTATATTTTCAGCCAAATAAAGACTGTTCCCCTAGCCCAAAATAACTATATTTTCCCCTGAAAATGATAATTTTTTTCCCAAAATTGCCCTGACTCCCTTTTCCACTAAAACCATGACTTAACAGCATCTGACTTATATCAGCTAGAAGACAGAAAACTGTCCCTATAAATAGCCTCTGCTACTTACCTTGAAAGTTAAATTGAATTGAAAATTTTATAAAATGTGTGGGTAAATTCCATTCTCAGTTGTAGGAATTTGAATGCAGATGTCCCCCTTTTCTGATTGATCACACAATATTTTCCCATTCAGAAAGCCACAGGTTGTTTAGAAAATTGAAAAAAAATCACTGCCTTCATTAAATTGCATCCCAACTATCTGTACATTTTTATACGCCCGTTTGAAAAAACGGGTTGTATTATAGTTTCCTCCTTGGCTGATGGGTGGGCGCACGGCACCATCCAATATTTGTCTGGAGCATATCTCCTACAGCCATGGAGGTATTTTAATGAAATTTCATAGAAATGTTCATCACTATGAGAAGCCGTGTCACGCCCAAAAACCAGGCCTCTAGGTCAAAAGTCAAGGTCAAACTAAGAGGTCATTGAAAAACGCTTGTCTTGAGCAAAACTTCTACAGGCATAGAGGGATTTCAATATAACTTGGCACAAATGTTCACTATTGTAAGGCAAAGTGTTGCACACAAAATTTATGTACACATAGGGGTCAAAGTTCAGATAAAAATATGAAAATGTGTATTGGACCATTTAGTCATCATTTATTGAAGGATTGAAACACATATTGTCATTATCATGACTACTGGTGTGAAACATGTAATTACGATTAATATGTCAAGGTCAGTAAAATATACAAAGACAATGCATACTCACTAAAGATGATTTTGAAGGTCACTAAAGATTATAAAATATAGAGATTTTGTCCAGAGCGTATCTCCTACACATACTAAGAGATTGTAATGAAACTTCAAACAAATGTTCACAACTATGAGAAGATCACACTTGGAGGTCATTGAAAAACGCTTTTCCGGAGCAAAACTTCTACATGCATATAGGGATTTCAATAAACTTGGCACAAATGTTCGCCCTCAAAATTTAGGTCCCTGCGGCTAAGGTCAAGGTCACACATAGGTGTCAAATTTCAGAAAAAAAAATCACTAGAGATGATAACATAATATATAGATAACAGATATTTTCCAGGTATTGCCCAGAGCTTATCTCAAATATGCATATCTGTATATGCCCACATCTCTCTCAAAAGCTTCTGTGACGGGCGTATATTTATTGCGACAATGTTGCCGTTGTTTATAAATACATTCATGTGAATGTCTGTGTATGTTTCTAGTCATTGATCTGTTTTATTTACAGATTGTAGAGTATGCTACGTAAAGATCCACCAGCACCTAGGTTTAAATTATTTGAGCGTTTTAAAAAGTTTACCAGAGAACATCCATATCTATACTTAATTTATGTGACATCAATAACATTTTGCATAGTCACTTTCTACAATCATCCAGGAAAACAGGCTTATGGATATGATAGGGCAAGAAGGAGGGAGCTTAAAATGAAGAATTTAAAGGAGTAAAGGTCAGTATAATTTAATTTTACATCAGGACCGTGGATGAAAGGAACAAGACTAAAAGTGAAAGGGTATAAAGCTATGTCTTATGAAATTATTTTTTTTAATTTATGAACAGTGAAATGATATTTGTTTCATAATTTTATAGTTGATTCTTGAAAGAGTTTTATCATAGAATGTCTCTGTCTTTTAAACAGAATACAATGTTATAGAACAACATATAATCTGCTATTTTAAATAGGGTTTTTATCAGTTTAGCAGAGATTTCTTGTATGTGCCATTATTTTGTTTTAAGGCAATTCTCTACAATATTTATTTCATCTACATTTTGGAAGTACAGTGTATTATATTTTTAAAAATTCAGACAATTTCTGCACTAGATACATGTACATGTATATAGCTTTATACATTTTAGTTATGATGTTCAAGAATGTATTTATGCATCTTCAATATTTCTTATGATTTTGCTCAATAGAAATCACAACATTTTCAGGAAGGTAATTTATGAATTATTTGTGTAAATTTCATCATTATATTGAAGAACACTTTGAAAAGTAACTCTGATTTTTTTTAGACAGTTTGAAGACTGTTAAAGCAGTCTACATCTTTTTCTTTAGCATGTAATCTTTTTGATGTGGTATTTAAAACTTCATCCATTCTCTAAAAATGATTTTGTTTTCAGTGATTAGTCATCAGATCAACATGTAACTGTAATATGTCATCTATAAAAGTTACAAAAGACTCATCTGCCATAGTTCAGAGGTCAAGGTTACTGGGTTTCAGAGAATCTGTAGCAAATTTTCTGCAGTTAACAAGGTCGTGTCATACACCTAGGGGTAAAATGATAGTTCTACAGAACACAAGTGGAGGCTGTTTGACCTTGACATCATCTTCAAGAAGGTTGCTCCAATGTTTATCTGTAAAGAAGCCTGTCATTCAGTTGCTTGTTTCAGCTACTCAAGGTCACCTGAGTGCTTTCAGTGATGCTGGTCTTTTTCTTTCTTCTTTTGCTGCAGATCTTGTTATAAGATCTATTGATTGTTGTCAAAGTGAAAAAATTTTGGCTGAAGTTTACGAGCTATTTTTGACATTATCTTTAGATTACTTGAATAGTGACGACTGTGGATTTAAATATCCCGCAATAATCTCTGATTTAAGTTTCATGAAAATATTTGTGAGAAGTATATTAGGAACTAAACAATTACCTCAGTGGAATGGAATCAAACTCGGACATATTTCAAATATAATTATAGAAACATTTCTTCAGTGTGTTACAGATGGCAGTAGAAGCTTACACGTGAGTGACAATATTTGTGTGATGGCAAGTCTAGGACTTGATGTGTTAAATAGCTACAATGTATCTGGTGTTTTGTTACCAGCACCAGAAATGTCAAAGTTCAAGGCGAGACCTCTGAAGCCTAAAAGAGTTAACCTGCATAGTAACAACAGTATTAAAGTTGCATTAATAACAACATCTATGTCTGGTGATTTAGACGAGTTAGCTGGGGTTAGATATGAAGTGAGTCAAAATATTCCAACAGATGGCATTATTATAGATGATTTATCAAATATTTGTGATACAATGGTCCAGTTTGATGTTGGACTGGTTTTATGTCAGCGTGTTATGCATCCAAAACTAAAACACAGTCTACATAAGTCAGGATTAATTGTAGTTGACAGAATTGGACTTCAGTTAGTGAAATATATCATAAATCTAACAGGTGTGTTAACCTAGCATTTTCATTATTTTGTTTTAATGTAATGATTTATTTGGAACTTTCACACTTATTTCACTAGAGTTTGCAGACAGTTTTCATGGTTTTGATTTATATAGACTTATACAAGTATAGGAATTTTCATTCCCACTCTGTACCTTCTTTTGAGCAGTTTGAAGGATATTGAAACTACTTGGCAAAAATGTTAACCATTATGCAGAGTGGAGCTTGACCTTTCTCTGGTCAAGGTCACAGTCATTTTATATTAGTTTCACTCTGTATCTTTTGAACCAATAGAAAGAAATTAAAACTTTTTTGCAGAATATTACTTATAATGAGAACACATGTTTGTGCTTCATGAGATCAAAATTGGCCCTGCTTCAGGGATTTAATACTTGATGACTTACATAGGAAAATGCATTTAAGTTTCATTGTGTGAAACTTCAATGTCTAGAGCTTAAATATTTAGTATGTAGGCATTCCCTTATTGACATTTACACAATTGATATGAAGCATGCAGTTCAGTATTGGCCCCACACAATGGGTCACTTGATTTATATAGATTTATTTTAGAAAAACACATCTGAGACTTATTATGTTAAACAATGATGTTTAAAGCTTAGATATTTGGCAGATAACATCAATTTGTGAACCACAAAATAACTGATATTAATAATGCCTCTTTGGTCAATATTGGCCTAGCCCCAGTGATCCCTTAGTTAACATATTTTTGTGTAGGAAAACGCAATGAAGTCTTATTTTTGTGAGACTTCAAAGCCTAGAGTTTATATATTTGATATGTAGCATTGCCTTATTTTATGAAACTACACTGTTAGAGCTAGCCTATGATATTTAGCATCTAAATACTTTACCTTGTGAATGTCTGCAAAATTGATATAAATCATGCCCTCCAGGCTCCAGCATAACTTGATTATAGGAAGAGCTTTTTAGGTCTTACTGTATGAAACTACAAAGCCTTGAGCTTAGATATTTGGCATATAGCATCAATTTGTAGATTTTTACAGAAGTTCTAAAAATACAAAAAGTTATACTTATCATGACCCTTAAGTCAAAATTGGCTCTGCCCTGGGAGTCACTTGCCTTGTGTAGACTAAGGTATATAGGTAAACACATCTTTTGTGGATAAATACTATGCCTCTATATTTGGTATATAGCATTGTCTAGTAGACCTTCCTCTATAAAAGTTTTATGAATCATGCTAAAATTGCCTCCACCTTGGAGATCATACATTTAAAGTATCATAAGGATAATAAAGATAAAACATTTTTCAGACAAGTTTCTATGCATTTGAGCAACTATTGCCCTTCCTTTGTGGTGCACTTGAAGTTGTTAAGAATATATATATTGTTTATAATCTGGCAGAATATTGATTGATATGTGTATGTTAAAAGGTAATAAGCTTGGCTGTGCTGAATTATTATTATTATCATTATTGATGTATTATTGATGTATATATATTACAGGATGTGTTCCAATCCAGTGTGCTGAAATCTCCTTGTCAGAAAATATATTTGGTTATATAGATGATGTACAGCATGTTATTGTGAACAAACTAAGTTATTTACACCTGACAAGGGCAGACAATCCTGTATCAACCCTAATGTTATATCATCATCAGGAAGAACCTCTGAATGAGCTGAAGGTATCTTTTCTTTACTTTTCTAAATCTGTTAAATTGACCTGCTATTTGCATTAATAATTTTATCCATGGATAAGTCAAGGTTCTAATGTTCTAGTATCAAAATGCTAAGATGAGTCATTGAAGAGTTGATCAGACATCATAGACTATCCTTGGTGGTTTGGTATACTTACCCAGCCATAAATAGAGCACAATTAAAGTGTATTAGAAGTATATTTAAAGCTCTCTGGTAAAGTATATAAGAAGCTTTGTTGCAGTCTCTGCTTCATATGTGCTTTCATTTATTTGATGGTTAATGCTAATGACCAACACATAGGTGAAGCTCCTTTGCAGCGTGGTTTGAATTATGCTAATTAGGCTTCAACAGATTTTAAAGTATCTTCGGATTTCTCCTTGAGAAGTACATTTGAAGCTTACATATTAGGTGCATTCAGTGTATTTATGCAGCACAATAAGCTTATAAAGAAGTACAGATGAAGTCTCGAATACTGAAGTATACCTGAAGCTTCTCTTTGAAGCATATTCATGAAGCATTTTTGAAGCCCCCTCAAAACAAGTCATGCACAACTTAATTACATTTTGTATTAAAATAACTTTCAAACAAACAATCAAAGTCTGAGAAGTAGCAAATAAGTCTCTAGTATAAAATACTATCAAAATGAAGCACTTTAAAAGCCCTGGTGCTTCAACTGAAGCACATATACACAAATTGAGAAGCTCATTAGAAGCTGGATGGGGCTTCAGATGAAGTACATCTGCAGTTGAAGTAAGTACTTTTGAAGTCCCTAGTACTTCAGCTGAAGCACAGGTGCTAGTTACAAAAGTTTTATTGAAGTCTAGAAGAAGCATATAAAAAGTAGGGGACTCTTATGAAGTGGGGGATGCTTTTTAGCTGGGAGTACACAGGTCTTTACCATTTCTTATTACACAGCTTAAACAATATCATATTGAATTACAATACAAGTTATCACCTTATCCTAATCTTAATAGCACATGTCCATGTGAACAAGCTCTCAGACTTTAATTAACTAAGGTCTTTGAACCTAACATCTTGCAATGCATTAAAAAGTTATGCATGTGGGTCAAAATTACAATTTGTATGACATGCCATAGTAAAAAGTAATTTCAAACACATTTCAAAATTTGCACTTATAAATACACGAAGCAAGTGGCCTTAAATGCCTAAGAAATTAATAAATTTTTCCTTCTTTAGAAATGGCAAGCATGACTTTTATAACATGAAAACATTAGAGTATGTTATGTGCTTATCAAAGAGTATGTTATGTGCTTATCGTCTGAAGAAAATACCAAGGAATGTGAAATCATTTGATATAAAAATAGCAAAATTTAAAAAAAAGTGGTCTTTTGACTTCCATATGAAATAATAAATCACTACAAATGTACTAATTGCGAAAGATAAACAGAAGCAAAGGATTGTCCAGGTTATAGGCCAATGAGTAAATTTTTGGAAACTGTAACAGGACACAAAAAAGAAAAAGCTTTCGAGAAATAAAAAGAAAAGCATTTCTAAAGCAAAATAGGCCTATGATGTATTTTTCTTTTAAATACATTTGAATGTTAATATTTCAGGATGTTTGTTTAACCAGCTTGGACAGTTTACAGCAACTTGTATATGACCCAACTGTACTTGCAGGAGCAGGATGCTGGCAGGTTGGTCTAGCTAATTATCTTACTGGAAAGGTTAGTATAATTCTTTGTTAACTCTTTAAAAGGTATAAATCTATATCTAATAAAGTGTTTTTTGAAATTTAAAAATGATTAAAAAATATATTGTTTTCGTACTCGAAAAAGTTGTTTATCCAATACACATGAAAACTGTGCATTAATGGAATTAAATGTTCTGGAACAAAATATAATACTGGTTTTTAAATAGATTTTTTTAGCCATCTAGCAATGATTTTTGTGCCCCCACGTTAGTGGCGGGCATTTAGATTTACCCTTGTCCGTCCGTCCTTCCGTCCGTCCGTCCGTTCACTTTTGTGTCGCACGTAACTCAAAAAGTATTTGACCTAGAGTCATGAAACTTTACAGGAATGTTGATCAGCATGTGTAGTTGTGCACCTGGGTATTTTGGTCTGGATATTTTTAGTATTTTCAGAGTTATTGCCCTTGACTTAGTAAAATTTTGCAATTTTCAACTTGTGTCGCATGTAACTCAAAAAGTATTTGACCTACAGTCATGAAACTTTACAGGAATGTTGATCAGCATGTGTAGTTGTGCACCTGGGTATTTTCGTCTTGATATTTTTAGTATTTTCAGAGTTATTGCCCTTGACTTAGTAAAATTTTGCAATTTTCAACTTGTGTCGCATGTAACTCAAAAAGTATTTGACCTAGAGTCATGAAACTTTACAGGAATGTTGATCAGCATGTGTAGTTGTGCACCTGGGTATTTTCGTGTGCATATTTTTAGTATTTTCAGAGTTATTGCCCTTGACTTAGTAAAATTTTGCAATTTTCAACTTGTGTCGCACATAACTCAAAAAGTATTTGACCTAGAGTCATGAAACTTTACAGGAATGTTGATCAGCATGTGTAGTTGTGCACCTGGGTATTTTCGTCTGGATATTTTTAGTATTTTCAGAGTTATTGCCCTTGACTTAGTAAAATTTTGCAATTTTCAACTTGTGTCGCATGTAACTCAAAAAGTATTTGACCTAGAGTCATGAAACTATACAGGAATATTGATCAGCATGTGCAGTTGTGCACCAGGTATTTTCGTCTGGATTTATTTTTTATTTATTTAGTATTTTTAGAGTTATTGCCCTTCATTTTTGCAATTTTCAACTTGTGTCGCAAGTTTCTCAAAAAGGATTTGACATAGTCATTAAACCTTATGGGCAGGTTGCTCAGCATATTTTAGATTTGCACCTGGGGTTTCGCTTGTGGATTTATCCAGTATTTGTAGAGTTATTTCCCTTGACTTAGTAAAAAGATTGACAGAACAGTGGCGCGGTGGGGGCACCCGTGTCCTATGGACACATTTCTAGTTTTACATGTGCCATTTGTTAAAAAGGATATATACCAACTTATATCTTTCAAACAGACATTTTGGATATTTATTTTTTTTTCAAAATTTAAACAAGTGTATTGTAAACTGTAGGCATCTGAGATATACAATGTAGCCTTATACACTTTAACCTGCTAAATGTCTTAAATCCTGCTTCAGTTTTAAGATGAAACTTTGAAATTAGTCAGTTAACAGAACAGAGCCTGTTCTATCTACACAAATATGGTTCCAGCATAGGAGAGGTTTGGCCTTTATCAAATGCCAGCAATTTGTTAAATCTGTACATGAATGTTATCCCGTAAATAATGAGGTCATAGTATTAAAAAATTGTGGAGGCGGTCGGGAGTTTTGTAAAATTTTAAAAATTATGACTGTTTTGATTGGTCACAAATAAATTCACTGGTTCTTCATGTAGTGCAAGTGTTGATACATAAATGTAAATGGACACATGTAGTTTAATCATATTTTGTCATAATTCCTTTTAATTTTTTAAAAAATCTTTGCATGAACAATAATTAAGATAATTAACTCACGTGACCCAAGGAAATTTCTGTAAATATCCACTGCAGTTTACATGTAACATTCAGGTTATAAAAAGAATGGGGAAATCTTTCTTATATTTTAGGTTTGTTTATATTATATGTTAAATATTTTACATTTTAAACTGTTGGTTTTTTTGTTGTTTTTTTTTTTGTTTTTTTCTGGGAAAAAACCCCATTAAACTTACTTTGTCAGACAAACTAACAAATGATTATAAATAAGAGCATTTATGAAAAAGAGTTACAGAGATAGGTATATAGATAATATAAACTTGTTTGATAATATAACATACATACACAATCATGCTTGACTGACATACAAATCAGCATAATGTCACATTTGTTACTTTTGTTGATAGTAGCCAAATCAATATGCTTTCTCTTTTTTCCAAGAAATATTAAAAATGGGAAATTAAATTCCTGTATTTTCCTGTATATATAAAATTTATTGAACTCATTGAATAAAACTGTGAAGAAGCTTTGCTTAAAACTTGCTTCTTTGATGAGGTCTGTTTTAGATAAAAAAAAGAACTAATTTCACTCACTGTTATGTTAAATTTAAGTTATAACAGTATATGAGTCTGGTCAGATTTCATAGCAGTGCGAGCTGGGCTGGCACGACTTGTAACATGCCTGTAAATACCACCTGTAATACTTGATAATATCTAGTTTATACATTGTATACTCGCTTTGGAATTAGTTATTTTAAGCATTTATTTAACTCTTACTATATAATTTATTACTTTCAGATTGAAGATAAAGGTGTTGAACTTAGTGAGGAATTAGAATGTCTAGTGATAACACTACAACAAGCTTGTACATTGTTTGTGCAAGCTTTACTATCAGCATCTCTAACAGATGTAAATAACTATTCTGTTAGCAGAAATAGTGGTCATGTGTTTAGATCTAGTGATGTAACTAAAGACAGTAACAAACTTGGTAATGACAATAAACGATGCTCTTGTGGTATATATAAAGCTAAAGCAAATGAAAATCTACTACAGTTGACAGAAAATGACAGTTTCTATTTGACTAGAAAAAATGGTACCTTAAACTGTGAAAAATGTCCACTTACAGATGCTATAGAGGAATGTGATGAAGTGGTGATTGACAGCTTTACAGTTGGCATAAATGCCTTACAGACTGCAGTTTTGACTGCATGCTCAGTGCTGAAAATTGGACAAGTTGTTGAAAATTTGTGATGTACTAATTGATATGAATTGCCTGTGTACTTTGAATTCTAAGACAAATTTATACTCTTGTTTGTTACAAATGTAGCAGGTTTCTCAGATATTATTGTTTTCCTCTCTGTTTACATGATGTAGATATTACACATATTCTATTTGAAATCAGAGCAATGAAAGTCCATTTTAAGCTAGATTTTTCTTTTTTAAAAAAGAGCTATTGCTACAGTCATGGTGTTGTTACCATCAGAAAACTTTAGTGTTAGTCATATTTTTTTATTTCTCAATGGATTGCCTATATACTTTGACACAACAACACTTTGGACAAGACCTTTAAGTTGACCAGACTGGACCTGAACTTTACTCTTAAATGACCTTGACCTTCAAGGTCAAATGTTTTAATTTTGCTTGATTTTAGCTATAATTGGCTATAACATTGTTATTTATGAATTGATTATTAACAGTCCTTGGGGCAAGACCTGTAAAGTAGACCAAATTGATTTTGACCTTTACTCACCAATGACCTTGATCTTGAAGGTCAATTTATTAAAGTTTGCTTGATTTTTGCTATAGTTGGTTATAACTTATTATTGTTATTTATAAACAAATTGTCATCCTACTTGAGCACAACTACCCTACGGACAATGTCTTTAAAAAGATCTAATTCAATTTGACCTAGACCTATAAATAACATTCACATTGAAGGTCACATTATTGTAATTTTACTTTTTTCTGTAATTGGCTATAACATTGTAAATGATAAATGTATTGTCATACTTGTGCACAACAATCCTTTGGACAAGACATCAAAGAAGATTTATGTACTTTACCATAATTTGATCTTGACGCTTACAGTCAAATTAGAAAATTGTGCTACAATTGGCCATAACTTTATTTATATATAGATTTTATTAATACTTGGTAAAAAACATTATGACAAAACCTGTATATTGAATACTAAAATATGACATTGACCTTTATTGATTGACATTGAACATTAAGGTCAAATTATTGAGTTTTCTGAAATTGTCTTAACTTTATTATCTAATTATGAATTTGATTCTTTCTTGGACAAGAGAGCACTTATGATAGGTAGCTAAATATAAACAAAGTAGTACATGTATTTTGATTTCCATACAAAATGCTCATTCACTATGATTATACCCATTGCCAACAGAGTAAAAAATGTGGCAAATGAGTATTTTTTGGGAAACTGTAACAAGATACCAAAAATAAAATGATTTTGAGAAATAGAAATAATATCATTTCTGAGGCAAAATGGGCATTTAATTCAAATGTGAACTTCAATTTGAATGACCTTGACTGTCAAGGTCATTTATTTGTTTTGTAGGAGGGTTCTTTTACTATAATATTCTTCCTCTGATGTGTTTGACTTTGGAAATAATGAAAAAGTTGAATGTGGCCCTTGCTAGGGAGTGGTTGTTGTTTTTGTCTGCTGTATTACTAGTACTAGTATGTTAAATGTTTATTAACAGAATATTTAGACATGTTTATTTATATGCCTTAATGAATGACATTTATCAAAATACAGATATATCTGTTTGTTCCCTTAATTGTAATAAAGAAGTTATCAAAAATTAAGTTGTATGATTTTCTTAAGCCTGATTAAGGCGGTGATGTGATGTAATGAATGGAGGTGCCTTATATAATCCTATTCTTCATATATACCAGTAGAAATATGGTGTTAAATGCTGCAAAATCAGTCCTTCATTGCATGTAACATGTAAACTATTATTACTTGAATTGTAACTACTAACTATTTTACTTTTCATAAAATCTTGGTTCATTTTACTAAAGGTAGATATTTTGAAATTTTATGGCTCATGTGGTGCAGCTAAATGTTTTTATTATGCTCCCCGAAAAATTTCGGGGGAGCATATAGTCGGCGCCTTGTCCGTCTGTCCGTCCGTCCGTCCGTCCGTCTGTCCGTCCGTTGTCTTGTCCGGAGCATAACTTGAAAACCCTTGGAGATAATTTGTTGAAACTTCATACAGTGGTAGAGGGCATCAAGGGGGAGTGCAGTGTCAAAGAACCATAACTCTATTTTGCCCGGTTTTTGAATTATCTCCCCTTATAGAAAAATCTTGTCCGGGGCATAACTCTAAAACTATAAGAGATATCAACATGAAACTTTGTAGGTGAATAGATCTCAATGGGTAGATGTGCAGTGCATAAGAACAATAACTCTTTTTGTCCTAATTTTGGAGTTATTGCCCTTTGTTAATTTTAATACTTTGAACTTTGTCCGGAACATAACTTGAAAACCCTTGGAGATAATTTGTTGAAACTTCATACAGTGGTAGAGGGCATCGAGGGGGAGTGCAGTGTCAAATAACCATAACTCTATTTTGCCCGATATTTGAATTATCTCCCCTTGTACAAAAATCTTGTCCGGGGCATAACTCTAAAACTATAAGAGATATCAACATGAAACTTTGTAGGTGAATAGATCTCAATGGATAGATGTGCAGTGCAAAAGAACCATAACTCTGTTAAGCCTTATTTTTGAATAATCTCCCCTTTTAGAAAAATCTTGTCCAGGACATAGCTGTAAAACTATAAGAGATATCAAAATGAAACTTTGTAGGTAGATAAATCTCAATGGGTAGATGTGCAGTGCACAAGAATCATAACTCTACCTTGCCTAATTCTGGAGTTATTGCCCTTTGTTTATTTTTACTTTTTGAATTGTCCAGGACATAACTCGGAAATCATAAGAGATATCATCAAGAAACTTTGTAAGTTGATAGATCACATTGATTATAAGTGCAGTGCAAAAAACTGTAACAGCCTTGCCTAATTTTGGAATTATTGCACTTTGAACTTTTTCCACGGACATAACTCTGAAACTACAAGAGGTGTACTTTCCTGTGTCCAAAACCTATTCGGGGAGCATCACCCGGCTCAAACCGGGCTCTTGTTCTCCCGGGCAGAGATTTTTCTCACTTAATTGGGAAGAGGCCTTAGCCTCTTGATTTTGGGATAAAATATCGCTAAAATTGCTAATTTGGGAAGTAAAAAAGCAGGTTTAAGTTCAGATTTTTGGGAAAACTTCATGATTTTAAAGAAAATTCCAAATGGGAAGAGGCCTTTTATCGGAGTCTGTGATATAAGCAGGAAAATCACTGCCGGGCATATAGTAATTGAACCGTCCGTCCGTCTGTCCGTACGAGGTTAACCTAGAACGGCAAGTTGGATTTTTCTTAAGTTCTACCTGTACCAATGGCTTCTAAGTTTACACACTTACTAATCAATACAAAGTACATGATCTGGGAAAGTTACATAACTCTGGCTTTTATATTTACCAAGTTACTGCCCTTGTCAGCACTTAAAAAATGAATAATGGTTAACCTAAAGCGGCAAGTTGGAAATATCTTAAGTTCTATCTAGACTAATGGCTTTATAATTTCCACACTTACTTATCAATACAAAGTACATGATATTGCCAAGTTATATAACTGTGTCATCCATATTTCCCAGTTATTTCCCTTTTTTCACTTTGAAAATAGGGCCTTGTCTGGTTAACCTATTTCGGCAAGTTAGATTTATCTTAAATTTCTCATAATTGCTTAATTTCTTTAATGATATCTTTCATATTTAGTAGGTGGATACCTTTGATGGTCCTCTAATTTTTTGCGGTCTCTAGGGTCAAGGTCAAGGTCACTGGTTTAAAAAATAAATATAAACATTTTTGCTCATACAGCCTTTATTTTTTAGTTGATGTCTTAGTTTAATACAAACATGCCAAGGGAGGTCTTCCTTCTTGGGTGTAGTAAGGGGTCATTCGGGTCAAGGTCAATGTTACCAATGTCAAGGTCACCAATGTTAAAAATAGATTTTGACATTTTTACATGTGTATTGACCTTATTCTATAGACATGTTATTTATAATTTATAGAAACATAAACTTTGATGGAGTTAGTGGTCAGTTGGGTCAAGGTCAATGTTACCAATGTCAAGGTCACCAGTGCTAAAAATAGATTTTTACACATTTGCTCATACAGCCTTTATTAAGTGACAGATATATTTTTAGCTCACCTGTCACACAGTGACAGGGTGAGCTTTTGTGATCGCTTTTCGTCCGGCGTCCGGCCGTCCGTAAACTTTTTCTTTGACATCTCCTCATAAACCACTAAGCCAATTTCATCCAAACTTCATAGGAATGTTCCTTTGGTGGTCACCTTTAAAAATTGTTCAAAGAATTTAATTCCATGCAGAACTCTGGTTACCATGGCAACAGAAAGAAAAAACTTTAAATATCTTCTTTTAAAAAAACCAAAGAGCTAGAGCTTAGATATTTAGCATGAAACATCTTCTAGTGAGTGTCTACCAAGTTTGTTCAAATAAAAGCCCTGGGGTCAAAATTGGCCCCGTCCCAGGGGGGTCATTGATTTTCCCTATATGCTTATAGTAAAAACTTAGAAAATCTTCTTTTAAAGAGCTAGAGCTAAGATATTTAGCATGAAACATCTTCTAATGAGTGTCTACCAAGTTTGTTCAAATAAAAGGCCTGGGGTCAAAATTGGCCCCGCCCCAGGGGGTCATTGATTTTCCCTATATGCATATAGTAAAAACTTAAAAATCTTCTTTTAAAGAACTCAAAGAGCTAGAGCTAAGATATTTAGCATGAAACATGTTCTAATGGGTGTCTTCAAAGTTTGTTCAAATAAAAGCCCTTGGGTCAAAATTGGCCCGCCCCGGGGGTCATTGATTTTCCTTATATGTGTATAGCAAAAACTTAAAAAAGTCTTCTTTGAAAAAACCCAAATAGCTAGAGTTTAGATATTTAGCATGAAACATCTTCTAGTGAGTGTCTACAAAGTTTGTTCAAATAAAAGCCCTGGGGTCAAAATTGGCCCCGCCCCGAGGGTCATTGATTTTCCTTATATGTGTATGGCAAAAACTTAAAAATCTTCTTTGAAAAAACCCAAATAGCTAGAGTTTAGATACTAAGCATGAAACATCTTCTAGTGAGTGTCTACAAAGTTTCTTCAAATAAAAGCCCTGGGGTCAAAACTGGCCCCGCCCCAGAGGTGTCATTGTTTTTAATTATATGTGTATAGTAAAAACTTAAAAAATCTTCTTTTAAAAAACCCAATGAGCTAGAGGTAAGATGTTTAACATGAAACATCTTCTTGTGGGTGTCTACCAAGTTTGTTCAAATAAAAAAGCCCTTGGGTTAAAATTTGCCCTGCCGGGGGGGGGGGGGAGAGATGAGGGGAGTGCAGAGGTTATTGTTTTTCATTATATGTGTGTAGTAAAAACTTAACATCATGAAACATCTTCTAATGGGTGTCTTCCAAGTTTGTTCAAATAAAAGCCCTGGGGTTTAAACTGGCCCCGCTCCGGGGGCCTATATACAGGTGAGCGACCTGATGGCCCTCTTGTATATTTGGTATGAAGATAACTTGCATGGTATTCATTTTTTTTGATTGGGGTAGGGATCAGTGGGTCAAGGTCACTTGTGCTAAAAATAAATTTTTACACTTTTGCCCATACAGCTTTTATTTATTGACAGATGTATTTCATATTTGGTAGGAAGATAACTTGCATGGTATTCTTCCTTTGGATGGAGTAAGGGGTCAGTTTGGTCAAGGTCACCAGTGCTAAAAATAGATTGTAACACTTTTGCCCATACAGCCTTTATTTATTGACAGATGTATTTCATTTTTGGTAGGAAGATAACTTACATGGTATTCTTCTTTTGGATAGAGTTAGGGGTCAGTTTGGTCAAGGTCACCAGTGCTCAAAATAGATTTTTACACTTTTGCCCATACAGCCTTTATTTGATGACAGATGTATTTCATATTTGGTAGGAAGATAACTTGCATGAAGTTGAATATTTTGGGTTCGATCCCCGGGAGATGCTTTGGTAGTTTAGCACGGAGGAAGGTAGTCTAGTACTGGTGAAACTCTCCAGGAACGATGGTTAGGAAACTACCTGCCTATATGACTGAAATACTGTTGGGAAAAGGCGTAAAATGAAACAAACAAACAAACAAATTGAATATTTTTCAACTTCACAAGTCAGAGCAATGACTTGGCAACTTATATTTTTCACAATTACAAAATGCCATGACTTTGTCAAGCTATATAACTTGTGTTTACAATTTTTTGGCAATTTTTAACCAGGTTTTCCGAAGGAAAAAACTGGTTATTAGATTGAGGTATGTCGGCGGGCGGATGGGACGGGCGGGCGTAAACAATTTCTTCTGTGCGCAACTCCTCCTACATTTCTCAACGGATTTTGACCAAACTTTCACAGAAGCTTTGTCATCAAGTGCCCTGGCTTATATTGTCGGGGTTTTGCGATTAGATAATATTTGACCTAATTATGGCCCTTTGTTTTTTTTCCTTATATAAAAATATATAGTGAACAATTTCTTCTGTGCGCAACTCCTCCTACATTTCTCAACGGATTTTGACCAAACTTTCTCAGAAGCTTTGTCATCAAGTGCCCTGTCACATATTTCCAGGGTTTTGCAATTGGTTTATATTTGACCTAATTATGGCCCTTTGTTTTTTTTCCTTATAAAGAATATATAGTGAACAATTTCTTCTGTGCGCAACTCCTCCTACATTTCTCAACGGATTTTGACCAAACTTTCACAGAAGCTTTGTCATCAAGTGCCCTGGCGCATATTGTCGGGGTTTTGCGATTAGATAATATTTGACCTAATTATGGCCCTTTGTTTTTTTTCCTTATATAAAATATATAGTGAACAATTTCTTCTGTGCGCAACTCCTCCTACATTTCTCAACGGATTTTGACCAAACTTTTTCAGAAGCTTTGTCATCAAGTGCCCTGTCACATATTTCCAGGGTTTTGCAATTGGTTTATATTTGACCTAATTATGGCCCTTTGTTTTTTTTCCTTATACAGAATATATAGTGAACAATTTCTTCTGTGCGCAACTCCTCCTACATTTCTCAACGGATTTTGACCAAACTTTCTTAGAAGCTTTGTTATCAAGTGCCTGGCACATATTGTCGGGGTTTTGTGATTGGATAATATTTGACCGAATTATGGCCCTTTGTATATTTTTTCCTTATACAGAATATATAGAGAACAATTTCTTCTGTGCTCAACTCCTCATACATTTCTCAACGGATTTTGACCAAACTTTCTTAGAAGCTTTGTTATCAAGTGCCTGGCACATATTGTCGGGGTTTTGTGATTGGATAATATTTGACCGAATTATGGCCCTTTGTATATTTTTTCCTTATACAGAATATATAGTGAACAATTTCTACAGTGCGCAACTTCTCCTACATTTCTCAATGGATTTTGACCAAACTTTCACAGAAGCTTTGTCATCAAGTGCCCTGGCGCTCACTAAATTCCCATGTTTCTTCCAAGACATCATTCAAGTATTTTTTTAAAATTGTGAACATACTTTTCTTGATATCGCACAAAACACCACACGCCAATATTGTTGACAAAAGAAAATGACAAGAGACGCAAAAATGCAAAAATTAAGCAAAAATAAAGTACTGTTTACCTTTCTAAAATATTTGGGAAAAAAGGCGAATAGACAACATAAAATTTCTCAATCATTTTTGTTTGAGGAATATTAAAAAAGCCATAATTCCTCCTAAAAGTTCAATTAAAAACAAATGCCCCTTCATGACAAAGCTTCTGTGAAATATTTTGCTGAAAACCTGGTTGCATCGCATTGCGATGTTCCTTGTTCTGTCCATAACTGAGTGAATGGGTAAACATTTTTTGAAATATTGTTACTGACAAGAATCTGAGCCGGGGGCAGTTGTGTTTAACAAACACGTTCTTGTTTTATTTACAAATTCAATTTCCACATACATTGTAACTTTGTACAAATATTGAGAAGCAATACCCATGACTAAAAATTCATTGAGAACATAAAAATTTGCACCTCTGTCCGCAGTTCTTGTTCAACCATTTCAGTTTCTTTCGCGGAAAAGTGAGAAAACATACCACAACACATTAACTTTATTTTGTATTTGAACATTTATCTACAAATATTTACTCATATAATTCCATTAATTGTTTATATTAGAGTATTTTGGACACTGTGTCACTCAAACATATTTCTAAATAAGGCAAAAGTTATTTCTAAAAAGTGGGTAAAACTTCATTATCACCAAGTGTACATCTGACCCATTTGTCTTTATGCACTTTCGAAGAACCATTTTAAAGACCAGCCTTGTGCACTTCTAACTACTGTCAGTAAACTTTTAGACCGGCATACAAAAGTTCTTCAAAATTTATTGCACATTCAAGTTATCCCAATCCAAAACGGCGGGTAGAAATCGTCTTTAACAAAATATTTGCTTATTTCCGACCCAGGTTTCGGATATCCATTAAAATAAATAACTGATCCTCCAGCGAGCCAGCCTCCCCACCAGCCAAATGTTCCAACAGATATTATCATATGATCACATAGTGACATTGCAGCAAGGTCGTTCCAGGCTGTGTGTATGGGGCTGAAAACAACTTTGTGACCGTTGTGTTGGAGATGGCCTTGACACCAGTTTTATATCATTTGAAAACACAGGTAAAATGTAGCATTCTTGTAGTTTAAGCTGTACATCTCCATCGCCTTCTTATAATAATCTGAAAGAATACTTAAATTGTTTTGATTTGGTTCTGTATCTTTAATTAAAGCATAAAATATACAAGCATTGATGAACGATCATTAAAGCCGACAATCGTTGTCGTGGTGGAAGTATTCAACAAACTAAACTCTTGTGCTTTTGTGAAAGAAAGCACGGAACTTCTGCATCTGTTGGATTTCATCTCGGTTAGAAATGTTCCAAGTAAGAACAAAAATATATGTTATTTAAACCAAAGTTGTTTTCTACTTGGTAAATTACCAAGATAACAATTCTCTGTCATCGTTATACCAGAAAGTTACGTCATCGTTTGTTATCATCATATTTCTTCATGTTGGCTTTAAAAATTGTTTTAAACTGTTGAAATTTTACTTTGTTCTGATATAAATTGCAACATTTTAGGTTGGTCGATATAATCATTTAGAACATCGATATATACAAGGGATGATTGATAAGTTCGCGGAATTGCTTTATTTCTGATAAAAAAAATCACCGATTCCTCAACACAGTTCAAATATTATTTATATTCACAGAACAATTATATCAAAATGTCACGTTGGTCATTTGCTGGCGTTAAAGTTGACAGTATTAATTCAGAAAATGTGAAATAACAGCACTAACATAGTTGCTTTGGAAACCTTTTTTTAAGTATTAAATATCCATTTACCTACCTAATAATTAAAGAGAATATAAGCTTTGTTACGTCTACATTAATTTTCACGCGGGTTTGATGAAGAAAATATTTTTTGACAGAATTCCCAATTTTATCAGTTAACCCTCGTATTTAACTATTTAAAAAAATGCTATTGCACAGTGTATGTTTTGAAAAAAAAAAAACTGGTACACGTACCTTCCTCTGGTGTAATACGCCCTAAATTAATATGATAATCGCTTAGAAAATCCCCTCTTCTTACGGTATACCAATTTTAAACTGTATTCGATGGAGCACTTTCATCAATAAATCGTCTTTATTTTGTATTTGAACATTTATCTACAAATATTTACTCATATAATTCCATTAATTGTTTATATTAGAGTATTTTGGACACTGTGTCACTCAAAACATATTTCTAAATAAGGCAAAAGTTATTTCTAAAAAAAAGTGGGTAAAACTTCATTTATCACCAAGTGTACATCTGACCCATTTGTCTTTATGCACTTTCGAAGAACCATTTTAAAGACCAGCCTTGTGCACTTCTAACTACTGTCAGTAAACTTTTAGACCGGCATACAAAAGTTCTTCAAAATTTATTGCACATTCAAGTTATCCAATCCAAAACGGCGGGTAGAAATCGTCTTTAACAAAATATTTGCTTATTTCCGACCCAGGTTTTCGGATATCCATTAAAATAAAATAACTGATCCTCCAGCGAGCCAGCCTCCCAACCAGCCAAATGTTCCAACAGATATTATCATATTATCACATAGTGACATTGCAGCAAGGTCGTATCCAGGCTGTGTGTATGGGCTGAAAACAACTTTGTGACCGTTGTGTTGGAGATGGCCTTGACACCAGTTTATATCATTTGAAAACACAGTAAAATGTAGCATTCTTGTAGTTTAAGCTGTACATCTCCATCGCCTTCTTATAATAATCTGAAAGAATACTTAAATTGTTTGATTTGGTTCTGTATCTTTAATTAAAGCAATAAAATATACAAGCATTGATGAACGATCATTAAAGCCGACAATCGTTGTCGTGGTGGAAGTATTCAACAAACTAACTCTTGTGCTTTTGTGAAAGAAGGCACAGAACTTCTGCATCTGTTGGATTTCATCTCGGTTAGAAATGTTCCAAGTAAGAACAAAAATATATGTTTATTTAAACCAAAGTTGTTTTTCTACTTGGTAAATTACCAAGATAACAATTCTCTGTCATCGTCATACCAGAAAGTTACGTCATCGTTTGTTATCATCATATTTCTTCATGTTGGCTTTAAAATTGTTTTAAACTGTTTGAAATTTACTTTGTTCTGATATAAATAGCAAACATTTTAGGTTGGTCGATATAATCATTTAGAACATCGATATATACAAGGGATGATTGATAAATTCGCGGAATTGCTTTATTTCTGATAAAAAATCACCGATTCCTTAACTCAAGATTGCCATACAATTCAAATATTATTTATATACACAAAACAATTATATTAAAATATCACGTTGGTCATTTGCTGGCGTTAAAGTTGACAGTATTAATTCCGAAAATGTGCAATAACTGCACTAACATAGTTGCTTTGGAAACCATTTTTTTTAAGTATTAAATATCCATTTACCTACCTAATAATTAAAGAGAATAATAAGCTTTGTTACGTCTACATTAATTTTCACGCGGTTTGATGAAGAAAATATTTTTTGACAGAATTCCCCAATTTTATCAGTTAACCCTCGTATTTAACTATTTAAAAAATGCTATTGCACAGTGTATGTTTTGAAAAAAAAAACTGGTACACGTACCTTCCTCTGGTGTAATACGCCCTAAATTAATATGATAATCGCTTAGAAAATCCCCTCTTCTTACGTGTATACCAATTTTAACTGTATTCGATGGAGCACTTTCATCAATAAATCGTCTTGCTTCTGCCATTATATCGCTCTTAAATGTAAATAATTTTTCTCAAAACGTTTTGGATCTTCCAAAAGTACTTAAAACTTTGTAAGTACCCGTCCAATGTCCAGTTCATATCACCTTTCAAGAATGACAAGTCAGAATATGTCGTGACATCACACTCTTCATGTGTAGATATATTCGATTCCTGGTACTTCAAAGATTCGGACAAATCTATTGTTTTTTTCGTAGGATTTGGCATCTCAAAAACCGGATAAATGTCGAAATTTGTAAGTGGGATAAAAGGACGATAGTTGAATTTATCTGCAATGCCTAGCACACTGGCTATTTGAAACATCTGGTTACCAAGTCGTCCTTTAGCTGGATATACAGTCAACCATTTTCCTTGCTTCGTATTCTTGTCTATTTTATCTCCTGAAAGGAAATTCCCTTGTATATAAACCTTGTCGTATGTCTTTAATTTTACGCCGCTGAAAACATTGTTTTCATGACGGAATTGTGGTTTATCGTTATTATCAACCATCAATTCACTCATATTTATTTAACTGAATTATCATCTAACGACAATATCTCTTTGAAAGCAGATTTCGATTTAATTAGAATTTTTTGGTAGAAAACAATCGTGAAAGATATGTACGCAAGAAACACCCATTTGTACACGATATAATACTTTTTTCTCATTTATTTAGTCATAAACTTAGAATTGTGAATGAAAGAATGAGCCGAAATGGTAACAATTTGTTGATTTTTGAATATCTTTGCTTTTACATTTCAATCAAAATTTTACATTCCCATATGGTATTCAAACCCTTAATTTTGTTATCAGTAAAACTGGCGATCACAAAGGCACAAAAAAGTAAGAAATCGAAATATGGATCAGTCAACACGTACACGTCCCTTTGATTTTCCACGAATAGTTTATAACCTATATACACATACTTAAAATTTGTGAGTGTACTTTTAAATACAAGACACAATCCAGCTAACGAGATAGATTTAATATCATACTATTAACACCATCACGGTGGTTTTTGACTTGTAGAAAAAAAAAAAACCCACAAAATAGTCAAGTCCACGGATAGTTCATAAATAATACAAACGCATATTTTAAGGCATTTGTAAATGGAGAAAATTGTTATTTGTGTGTGTACATTTTATTATGTAATAGTAAGCCCCATAGCAAATCAAATTAATTTACACAATAATTTAGTTTAATTATTATATTCGTTATCTGATAACTGGGCTAGCTTAAGGGGCAAAGTATGTAGAGGGAAATAAAAGTTAAAACAAATTCCGTTGAAAAAGAATATAACATTTTCCTTATTAGATTATGGTTATATATTTTCTATGAACAATATTAAAACTGACTAACTTAAATTATCAACATCGGGGTGGATGTGGGATATCTACATGTAGGCCTATTTCTTCATGACATTCGTGATATCACTCCCTCCCATATACAAGTAAACTATTCCATAATCAACAGAACAGTCTCTAATGGTCTAATACCATGCTTAAATTTAATGTTTATCCTGAGACAGAAAGATATACATTATTATTATTAGTCCCAGGTTTATCTGGCTGAGTAAATAACCAAATCTATATATTAATTATGACAACTTCGCCAATAACTTTCCTTTTAAAATAAAAATAACAAGCATGTTAGTTTAAATATCTATAGTAGCAAATGTATGGACCAGTGACAACGTCCTGGTCTACTAATCCAGGATTTTCAGGTTCGATCCCTCGCTTCACCAATAACAATACTAATGGTCTTTCTAATTAGATCTCCAAAAACTAAATTCCCATACATCGGGCACCAGAACCAGGATCGTCTTTGGAACGGCAGTGCGGATACACTTCGACTAATTCCTGGGCGTCACTGATAGTGGCAACCGAAATGCGGCAGTCGTATGTATGTTTCTGATCATTTATCATACACGTATCTCATCATTGTACAACGTATTTAATACAGGCCTCGACATTAGTGGTGGTCCGTTGGTCCGAGACCACCTAATTTTGGCAAGGACCACCTAATTTTAAAATGCACTGGTCCGTCGGACCACTTGAATTTTCTGGTTTGTGCAAGGCTCATTTGGGAGAATGGCGATTTGGTCAAAAACATGTTGTATACATTTTGTTTAAAACCATTTGTCCTATGAACATGTATATGGTTCATTAATAGATTAATCTGATTAGCTATAGAAGGTCTTAAATCATCAATAACTTTCATTTTAAGTCGCTAAAATTGTGTCTATGCACGTTGAGTTAAGAACTTGTGATATTAAGCTCGGTACAAATTGCATTCAAATGATGCTAGTAATGATGCATCCTCGGATTACCACGGCGGAACCTTTAACAATCACACGTGGGTATCCGACAATGGTAATTATGATATTGTATGGGATACTGTATGAACTTTAAATTTCATATACATGAATAATGGCAGCAAACTAGTAATTCTTTGCCAGTTATCTTTATTTTTACTGTTTAACGATGAGAGATTCATTTCTTCCAGAGTTAAAATTACTTTTTTTTTAAGTAAAAGGTTAAAAATACTCAATGTAAAAAATAAATATCAAGCAACAGTGCGGTAAAAATTCTATATTCATAATAAATCTGTGAGAAAAATAAGCTAAACTATAGTTATATATAAAGTTGTTTTTATTTTTTATCCATTAGATATTTCCTTGTTTTAAGATAATTTATTAGTTTTTATTTAAAATGTTAATCTATAAAAGATACATGTAATTATCATGATTATAAGACGTACCACATATCAGCAATGAATATTTGAATAACAGTAAGAAAATAACAGACACAAATGTTTCACTATTCCCTAACTTGAGTTGAGGGAAAAATCACTTCAATATAAAAGTTAACATAAATAAGAGCCCTGTTGTGTATTTTTGAATGAGCTATGAAAAAAACAACAAATAACTTCACGACAGAATACCTACTAACTTGCTCTCCTTAATTTATGATAAGATAAAAATATATATCTAAAATGTCTGTTTTCTTTAAAGGTTAATAATACATCTTTGTCATCAATTTTAAGCATACGTTTTTCTAAATTTTGCAGTAAAATGATATAATAATAATAGTTGACCACTTGACTTCTGAAAGGACCACCTTAATTTCAAATCTAGTGGTCCGGCTTACCACCTGGTAAAAAAGTTAGTGTCGAGGCCTATAATATATTCACCCCTAATGAACGATTCTTGCTCTCTGATACCATATGATAGTATTGTAAAACATAATGCGGATTCCGTAAAATTAATTATAATTAATCATTTTCATCAAAATACTGTAATGAAATTCTCAAATTAAAGTTAAAAAAAAATCAACATTATCTAATTATCATTTGAAAATTTCATTTTAAGTATAACTTTTCTAAATTGAACATCTGGAAAAATGGGAGTGCAAGTCTACAGTATACATATATTTGTGATATGTTTATCCTCATGGGCTTTTCAGCCTAATGGAATGTTGAATTAACTTCTTCTTCGTGTACATGTACACTGTAGACCTGTGTGAACCGTAATGGGAGCTATATACGACAATAGAAAAAGATATTGTATTGTATTGACAGTAGTAAAATGTCTTGGGAGCGAAAAGTGCTTACATAATACATATGTGGTTCACTCCAAGTGATAGGGATGAGTTTAGTGCTCTAAGTCTTTCCTTTACTTAGCGTAAAAAACATTATCTATGTTTGACGAAATACGGTAATGTACTGTAGCACGGGAATTAGACAAACCGATCTTTGACGAAATACGGTAATGTACTGTAGCACGGGAATAAGACAAATCAAATACAACAACAACAAATATGGCAGCCTCCAACGAAAACGAAATTGTTTACTCAAGAAATCATCGTTGCAAAGCTTTACTGAAAGAAACTGACTTAAAACCTAATGACCATCCTTTGCATTTGATTATTTCTAGGAAATCTGCATCTTCACTTGGCATTTCAGCGGATGACAACCAAATATATTTGTCGTTATGGACGAACACGAAAGTTTCTCAAGAAATTTTTATGACACACCCACCTGGGAAAAGTCAGGGATGCATATTTCAAAGAATGTTATCAAATAGCCAAAATTTCCCCGAAATTCTTGTACCTGAATCAGATGAAGGTAATGTAGATGTGGAGGATATGACAACTGGTTTAGATATTGAAGTGTTTGTCACTGTTTGGGTAAGAAATGAGGATGTGGAAGAATCAAGTGAATATGATATAACATTGACTTGTAGTCAGCAGTTTCTTACCCATTACAATATAGAGAATACAACAGTCTTTGTCCGTCCAGTCAAATTATATCCAGTTAGTAACGTTGTGCTTGGTGTAAGTAGTCATGAAACCTTTCAGTGGCTTACAAACAAAAGTTTTGCAGTCGACTATTATTAGAGATTCAGTCAAACTCGGTACTGATTAGGACAAAGGATGTTTTCCTTTCTTCATATGGGAACTTCCTTGAAGATCCTGATTTCAAAAGAAATTTTTATTTTGACATATTTGTTCTTGAATGCTCACCAGTTCAGCAAGGTTTAATTACATCAAAGACAGAATTTGTGTTAACTTATCTTGGAGATTTAGCAGCAGAACAAGAACGTTTTAAGTCTAAAATGGAATCCCTAGTGTCAAATCCTAGACAGGGTGACCGCATGATTACTGGACCATTTAAGGATATTCTTATGTCAGACTTCAGCTTTGCTGTAAATCCTAACTATCTAAGTCCTGAAATAGACCTGGATGAACCAGATTCAATGCCAAGCTTTAAGAAAAAAGCAAATGCCATACAAAATCGGAAAAAGAAATCTAGAAGTGAAATAGTTGGACATTTTGAATATGAAGTTGTTCCTCAGCAGCCACTTTTTAGAAGAATGTTATGGAGGGAAGAAAAAGTACAAAATTTTGATCCCTTATACTTTGTTGGAATGTCACGAAAGCAAATGATCAAAGAAGGTCTATTTGATAGTAGTTATGTGTTGATATCACCCGAGTATTATAATGATGACTGTGATGATGACAAAACATATTCACGGATAGAAAGACTTTGTATGGTTAGATGCTTAGGGAAAGAGTATGACAAATCAAGGCGACTTTTCATATCCCCGTTATGTCTTTTCAACATGCAGAATAAACCACCAATAGAGCTGCCTATTTCTTTAATAATGAAGGTTTGATTATTATCATACTTAATTTACACTGATGAATTGACAGTTAAGATTTGCTTTCAGAACTTAATACAAATTGTAAAATACTTCTAGGAATTACTGTGAATTCATAATTGTTTGTGTAGGATTTACCTTTTACATGCTATCTAAAATGCCTATAGTCCAAGGGTGTGGAAATACAAATTTTTGCCAGTTGCCCTGCCCATATTTTAATGAAAGTTTATGAGATGTAAGAGCGTCCTTTCATAGTAAGGTGTGAACACTGTTCTTAACATATAAAGATCAGATTTAATTTCTGCAGTTTGAGGAAACGTTCTACAAATTTTATAAGGCAATGAATCATGCCCAAACTATC